ATACATACATACATACATACATACATCATACATACGGACATACCGGCATGCCTGTGTGTGTATGTATGGATATGTACGTGCGCATGCATGTATGCCTGTGTAGATGATATGCAAATCAAGCCTTATAGCAGACTGTAGCCTTGATCAGGTTTCATTTATCCGCTAAACCCCAAACTCTACCCTAAAACCCTAAGCCCGAAGCTCTGAAGCCCTAAGCTCTAACTCCTGTGGTGGTATTCCGACTGTAGCAGGAGGAAAAGAAAATTAAAAGAACAACAAACCCTAGAACACTAAGCCCTGGACCCTAAACCCTAAACCCCTAAACCCCAAACCCAAACTGTCTGATCAGGATTCATCCATCCCCGTGACCTGCCGGCTTTCGACCCTTTCGCAGCTGAGGAGCCCGACTGGAGGCTCCAAAGCTTCAGGGCTTAGGGTTTAGGGTTTAGGGCCATGGTTTAGGGTTTAGGGCCAGGGTTTAGGGTTTAGGGTTTAGGATTTAGGGTAATTAAAGCTTAATGAATGGGGTTTTGGGGTTTTGGATCGCTTGGGGATAGGGTTGAGGGGGGGTTGTCGAAGGGCTCTATACAGGGGTGGGATGACACAGATGTCTCAGGCTTGTTGGGCTGGTTCAGGGTGTCAGTCTAGGTCTCAGGCTTCAGGCATCAAACTTGGGTCATGCGACGATTGGCCCGCATTCCTGCAGTCTTACGGTGCGAGCCATGTGTTTCAGTCCGTTGCATAGAAGAGTGCAAGTGCCTTTGCACATTCGGGGTCTAGAACCCTGGTTTGTGGCCAGAAGCCTCTTGTGATCCCAGTGGTTAAGAGCCCGAAACCCTTTGAAACACAAAGCGGAAATTGAAAAGAACAATAGGCCTTTTGCCTTGAGCCCAAAGCCTGAAAGCCCCACCTACCAAAACTAAAGGCCTGGGCTTGTAGGTCTTGAAACAGCAGGTGGGAGAAGCAGGAGAACCAGTGGCGAAGCTACCCCTCGAATGAGTCGATCGAACTGGATCGCTACTTTCAGGTACGGGACAGAGTGTTGCAGGGCTTAAGGAGCGTTTACAGCGATTTACAATCGGCGGGCTTCTGTGCTTTTTCATTGCTTTTACTTGGAGGGTCAGGGGAATTCGTAAATGGGATGGGGTCGTATAAATGGGATGGCGTCGTAACCTCTGAATCGTAAACCCTAGACTTGTGACGAGCCCCAAGGGCTACATCCCACAATCGTAGCCCTAAGCGATGCCTTGGGTCTGGACGGTATCATCCCCGCGACCCAAGCTAATCGCACAAGGTCATCACCCGTTCACTTCTGCCCGCAACCGATTGGTTTTTGTGCATTGAGGACGTGACCGAAACCTTTCTCTCTGCCCCCAAGAGCAGGCTTGTGTAGCGTAATACCCAGACAGGCGGCAGCGACTGCAGCAGGAATTTCCCCTATGAGGTATGCTACGGAGTGCTGTGTTCCTTGCCCATCACTGTCTAGGATGACGGAATCCGCGGTAATGGCATAGGCCCCGGAGGTGAGAGCCCGCAACCTGAGCCGCAGAGGGCGCTTAAAGTGCTAACTAACGACCCCTCCCCGACGTTCCAAGGAAGCATGTTCGGACCTCCGACCCCAAATTCGGGTGGTTGCGAGTAGGGGATTGTCGGAACAATGATCTTCCCTTCTCAGCTCTGTTCTACTCCCATTCTTCCAGTCGTCTAGTCGTAGTACCAAGCGCCTCAACAGCGGTCATCCTGATCATTGCGAAGATGGTCACAGTTGTGGTTTCGATGGCCATGCTAGTCATGAAGTCGGTTCTTCTCGGTTGAGGCCTTAGACCGATGATGGCGATTGTGATGACCAAGATGATGGTCACGATGAGGACGATGACGATGACGAGGGCAGCTGTAGCCCTCGAACGGGCACTGGGGCTGGTGAGTGCTTGCACGCGTGATCGTCTTTGCAGCAGCAATAGTCCATAATAAGTCCATAATATAGCTTTTCTGGTCTCCAGTCACCTGGACCCCCCCCCCCCCCCCGGCACGGGGAACCGGGACCCAACGACCCGGGACCCGGGAAACCGGAACACGGGCCCGGCGCTCTTCGGGCAAGAAAAGCGATATCTCCCAAAGCCAAACCCTGATGATGCACCTCGTCACTCTAAGCCCAAAACCACCCCCCCCCTCAACAAAAAAAAGAAAACTTAAGCAAGAAGCACCAACAAACCTCGCTTTTCTTTACAGAGAGCCTGCAAGAGCTTGCCCAAGTTTCCTCGCAGGTCTACTCGTCTGACAATGCCCCCGGGCCAGAAAGTTTAGACCTTCGAGGGCCTCAACCCGGGGTTGGGGATTGGGTTTAGGGTTTGAGGGATTAGGTTTTAGGGTTTCGGGTTTAGGATCTTGGATTAGGGTTTAGGGTTTAGGATTAGGGTTTACGGTCTGGGTAGAGTTGCGGAGTTTTGGGGAATGCAGAGGACCTGCCACCCATCAAGGCAGGAGGTATGGCCTACAGCACGACTCGCAAGTTTCTACCCATGGTTCAGGCGGAAAGGATTCGGAAGCAGAACTCAGATCGCCAAACTTATCTTCGGCAAATTCCTGGAACTTGCTTGTGACCGGATAGAAAGCTTAGTGCCCTAGGTCCTACATCTTAAAACCCTACACCCTAAACCTTCAATTGCCTCTCTCGGTATCTGGGTCCTGGATCCCAGGCATGGTAACCCTGATGACAGGCCGATGTTACCATCATAGTAGCTTCTACAGCAATTCTTTTAGCAAAGCGTCCTAGCAACCTTAAGGCCTAATCTTAGACCCTGAAGCCCAGACCTCAGACCCGAAGCCTTCTTCAATCCTTCAGATCGGACAGTACGCCGTTTGTGTGCATTTACAGTTGTTGTTTTTTAAATCATTCGTTTATTAATACATTCGTTCGTTCGTTCGTTCGTTCGTTCAGTCAGTCAGTCAGTCAGTCAGTCAGTCAGTCAGTCAGTCAGTCAGTGAGCCAGTCAGTCATTGTCTCCATTTTGTTATTTTTACACGCTTACATATCAGTATATATCTATCTATCTAGCTAGCTAGCCAGCTAGCTAGCCATCCATCTATCCGTCTATCCAAGATATCTCTCTGTCTATCTGTCGATCTACCGATCTTCCTATCTATCTATCTTTCTTTCTCTCTGTCTACCTGTATATATATATATACATATATATAATTATAATATGTATACATATATATATATGTGCGCACACACACATGTATGTATATCATGTGTGTATAGGTAGATATAGATAGATAGATAGATAGATAGATAGATAGATAGATAGACAGGTAGATAGATAAACAGACAGACAGGTAGACAGATAGACACACAGGCAGACATACAGACAGATAGACAGATAGACATCCACGGTTTAGAGTTTAGGACCCTGCGACATTCAATCCACAACCCCACAAGCGAAAAATCCTCCAAGGAAGGCCCAAGCTGTGCCAAGCTGTCTCTGCTGAAGAACGATGTTGTGGCTCGGCTGTGGCTCCAGCGTCCCCGGTACTCTCGAAGTTTGGTTCTGCATGGCCTTGCAGAGTTTTGTTGGGAGTGGGACTTGGATTTTAGGAATTCGGGCTGAGGGTTTCGAGGTGATGGATTTGTGATCTGGGGTTTTGAGTCGGTTTTGAGCTTACGCCAGGGACCAGGCAGCACCACAAGATAAACACAAAACCTATACCACAAAGCTGGATGTCTACCCGTTCGGTGCAAGAATATGCAACATAGGGGCGGAACAAATTACCAATACTGTTTCGGGGCTCCTTATTAAAATCAGAGTATAATATACACCAAAACCCTATTCTAATTATGGAGACCCCTATATGAGAGGTGCTCTACCCTTTAAGGCTAGCGGGACATGTTCATTTTAGAGGGTCTTGTTTGCGAGCATGTTTCAACGAACGGCCGAGTGCCAAACTCAACGATCTCGAAGCCCAAGAAAAGCGTTGGATACACATAAACCCTAAACCCTAAACCGTCATAAACCCTAAACCCTAAACCCTAAACCGTACTAGCCAGAGTCTTAAAAGGGATCCCAAAAGGGACCTCTGAACTGCAACCCTAAATTCTTTCTGAAACCCGAAGCCCTAAGGCCCTAAGGCGCCTTTTCCCAAAGATAGAACCCCTGCACACCCGCCTCTAAGACCCATGCAAATTTTAAACCTTAAGCCCTAATCCTTAAGCCCTCATAAACCCTAAACCCTAGTATCTGAAAGCGACACATTTCAAAGCACACCTTTTTGGGACCCGAGCCCGTTCCTACTTGTATATCGAAAGACTGACCTGTGACTTTCGGGCCGTTCCGGAATTGCGCAGGTATCTACAGCTGAAAGTGGGGTGTGTGCGGCTGGTGAATGTTGGTAATCTTTCATCTCTTCAGCTGTTGAGTTTGCATGAAGTAGAACAGTCTGGCAAATATGGCGAACCCCTTGGCCTAACCCCAGTCACGAAAACACGACCACATCCCATCGATCCTAGCACACCAAATGCGAAGAAACTGACCTAAAGCTGCAATACCACCACGGACAGTGTTTACGTTCCCAAAGCACCATGATTCTGCTGTCGCACAGCAGTCTTCTGCCTGTTTTTAGAATCAGCGCAGTTATTGGTTCATCTCCTGCAGCCTGCTGGCTAACAAGCCCAAATAGCACGATTTCTTTGCCATGGCGATGAAGGCGTCTCAAGTTCTGCCCCATGTGTGGGTGGTGGATGAGGCGGTTCCCGAGTCTTTGCTGGATCATGTGGACCAGGCCTAACAGGAGCACCACCACGAAGGACTTGGCAGTTGAGTTCGTACAGTTTATACTTTTCGGGCATATATATATACATATATATATATATACAAAAACATATATATATGTATATATATATATACATGTGCTGTTTTTTAGACTCTGGAATTGGAATGCGACTTGACGACAGAGAGGAGGAGTATCATGGTAGGCCGCTCACATCGCACAGCATCGAGTTCGAGATGGATGAAACGTCTAAACCTTTCTTCGAGATGATCGCGCGCTGCTGGGGTTTACGCTTAGAGGAGCCCTTCAAGAAGTTCATGGTCTCCGATATTTGGGGAGCTGGACAGTCTGCCCATGTGGACCACATAAAGCCAAAATCCTAAACTCTGAAACCCAAGCCGTCTGCTCATCTGGCCCACATCAACCCTCGCAGAACCCTTGCAGTGGCTCTGTCAGACATCCCTACCCTAACAAGACTAACCCTTAGCGCACCCCCTGTGAAACCCCCAGGTGGACCACATAAATCCTAAACCCTAAACCCCCCAGGTGGATCACATAAACCTGGATGACCTGGAGAGCCGAAACTGGACTTTCCTGGACCTGGGCCTGCAGAGCTCCGAACCGCGCAACCCCAAAAAGGCTTGGTCTTTGGGTTTTTTTAGGGTTTAGGGACTTCCTATAGGGGTTTTAGGGTTTTTTAGGGGTTTAGGATTTTTAGGGCTTTAGGGGTTTTAAGGATTTAGGGTTCAGGGTGTAGGGCTCTGGGATTGAAGGTTTTTGTGATTTAAGAGTTTCGGGATGAAGGTACGGGGTTCCTTCGGGTTTAGGGTGTTTGGGGCTTTTACGGTGTAGCTTTTCTCAAATTGGGTTTGAGGATGCCGCAATTAGGAACACACATCCTCTGCTGTATCTTCTACTTGAGGGGCTATAGCTTAAGAATACCATAGTACGGTAATCGTTGTTTTGTCCCATGCATCCCTGCATGGTAACTTAACACGAGGGAGTTCTTGAACAAGACGCCAGAAGGTGGTGCCCACCGTGACGGTCGTGGTCTACTTCAACTCTGTCGGAGGAATTTGCTTTCCCAATGCTTCCAAGGAGGGGACGTTCCGCAAGACCACTACGCCTAAAGCCCTAAACCCTAACCCAAAGCCCAAGTCACCGGAACCCGAGTTAAATCCAACACCCTGAATCCGAGATAAATCTCGCATCCGAAACTCTAAATCCATAACCCTTAGCCCAAAAGCCTGATAAACCCTACGACAGCCCTTTAGCCTAGGAGGTGGGTACCATTGCGGCCGAGCGCGGTCGGGTGGTGATGTTCGAGAACTACCTGGAGGCTGCTGGGAGTTAAAAAGCGGTGTAGGGTTTGGAGTTTAGGGTTTTAGGGTTTCGGGTCTTAGGGTTTGGGGTTTTATGGTTTAGGGTTTTAGGGTTGAGGGTTTAGGGTTTAGAGTTTAGGGTTGGGTGTACTATCAGGGACGCGACAAGGGTGAAGTCATTGCTGTAAGGGTTGCCATAAGGTTTCTCTAAAGTTACCATATTCGGGTTACTAGAAAGATGCGGACGCATGGGGCACCGTGTTACTTCGCATTCTCAAAAGCGAGGAAGCCAGTGGCTTTCGCTCACGTTTCAGAACAACGCGGGGTTGTAGCACCTGCCGGAAACTACTGTAATAAAGTTGGGCAAGATTTCACTGAGCTGTTATACACAATCTTTTTGTGATCATCATAATCATCTTGTTTTCATCTTCATTTTCATCTTCATCTTCATCATCGCCATCACCATATCGTTGTGCACGACAATGGGCGAAGAGGCAACATTGCTGTAACCACTAGTGTTTTGGGCATGCTCGCCCAAGGCAGGAACGCTGGCGACAGTTATGCGACAAATGTCAAACATCCTCCGCAGTATGTTGTAAAAAGTGGCGAAGCGCTGCTGCAAGTACCAGGCATGCTAGCACAAGGCATGAACCCTTGTGAGTGCGGCGGCGACAAACACCCTTCTGCAGTATGTTGCATAAAGTGGCAACAGCATCGTGAATACCAGTGTGCTGGGCATGGTCGCCGTTGGGACCGACGTCCTCATCCCCCGCCCCCGTCGCCCAGCCCCTACCGCGCCCCAACCCCATGGAATCATCCGAAGTGTCCTGAAAAGAGGCAAGACACCCAGGAAAGTAACACGGCGGCCTATGCCCCCGTCGCCTTCTGTAAGGGTTGACTTTGAGGAGATCGGAGGCTCGCCAGTTTATCCTAGGCCTTAGGCTTCATGGTTGTAGCTATCCGATACAGACATCGCTGGAACTGCAACCTTGTAACTAGGTCTATGTCGAACGGATTCTATGCAGAGGCTGCTGCAAACAAACCTTTCGAAGCCAGCTTCCACTTCTTTGTACAATTCTGTGACAGGACTGCCAGAGGCCTTCGCACAATCCCGCGGCCGCGCACTACGGCCTCTATTTCCAGGACACGCGAGGGGCAGTGTTGGCAAGGGTGCAAGTTCGTAGTGTCTTCATGTGGGTACGCACTTTTTAACGTACATTTTCAGGAGTCAGAACCGCCTCAGAAATTCAATTGTCGGCGGTACGGCGGTACTGTCGCAGCTAGTATGGTGTGGCTTGTTGCCAATACCTAAACCACCATCCTTCTACCGTCCGAGGACAAGCCGAAGCGGATTCTTGTCATGGGCATCCTCGCGAATCGGACGCCTCAGTTCTCTCCTGGGTCAGAGCCCAAGGCCCTGACGAGGAGTTTGCTCTACTGCGCTGGCACGGAAGCTGACCCTCTCCGCCACGAGCAAGAGGATTCCCGGGAGTCGGTAATGCAGCAGTTACAGTGGAAGCCAGAGCCAGTGGAGAAGGAGCCCGTGGAGGATCCGAAGCCCCTGACCCTTAAGGGTTTAGGGTTTAGGGTTGTCCCTTCAGTAGCAGACTCTGAATTAGAAAGAACAGGAGCCTTAAGGTCTGGAGTCGTTAGGCTTTTGGCGAATACTAAGCTATCAGTGTAGTATACTAAGGGACCTGAGGATTGTAGCATTCCTATGTACTGACGCCCCCCATGGTACCTTAAGCCGTCTGAAGAAACTAAACTTAAGCCCGTGAAGCCCTGCGCGCTGGTGGAGGAACCACCACTTCAACCAGTTGGGCAAGGGAAGCCCGACAGCTTGGTGGAGGGAGAGGAAGCGGCAAAGGGCTGCTGCTGCTGGCCCTGGCAAACAGCCCGTGAAAGCCCTTAGGGATTCGAGGGCTTAATGTAGAGGCCAAAATAAATACCTATGCTGTGTTGGGGGGTTCCTTTAATTGTTATCAGTTTAGTACAATGGGCCCCAGCACCCTATTCTAATTCTTGAGGCCCCTATATTACAAGCAGCGCTTGATACTGCCACTGCTCTTACATCTTGGCTGCGACGTGCTGTACAGTCAAGCAACGCATCAACGCCCGATACACTCCGGGAGTTTTTTTTGCGCTGAGCCGTGGAGACAGAAGAGATGGCTTCAGGGTATACCTGTGACCCCCAAGAACCTGCATTTTTAAGGACTTTTAGAATGAAACTATGATACGGAGCCCCGAAAAGGTAGGTTATTTGGGGGGTTAAGGGGGTTGTGTGATACAGGGCTTCATGCCCACACCCTTTGGCGGTGGTTCCAAGCACAGTCATCGAGAGCAAACCCCGAAGCCGAAGTGTTCGGGTTCCTTTAAGGGTAGGGTTTAGGGTTTAGGGTGTAGGGTTTAGGGTTAACGAAGAAGCTCCATCCCTTTGCAGTGACCCCTGAAGCCTCAAGCTCACTGCCGCCCTGAAGTCCTGCAGGCTGCAAGACCACCCCGCAAAAACAACATACAAAGGCCAGGTCATGCTGCTGCTGATGATGATGATGACGACGAGGGTGGTGCTCATGATGATGATGATGATGATGATGCTGATGATTATGATGATGACAATGATGACGGTGATGTCGACAGGATGATGATGATGATGGTGATGATGATGATGATGATGGTGATGGTGATGGTGATGACGGTGATGATGACGGTGATGGTGACGGTGATGATGGTAACTATCATCGACTTCGTGAATCAAAACCCCCACGCTTACGGTGACAAGGCACAGCTGGCATAGCTACCACCTACTAGGTCCCGGATCCTTCCCCCACTGGGCAGTGCCGTCACGGACATCGCCCTCTTCAGATTAAAGTATTTACGTTCCCAAAACAAGATGAAGCTGCTGTCGCACAGCAGTCTTCTGCCTGTTGTGAGAATCAGCGCAGTTATTGGTTCATCTCCCTCAGGCTCCCGGCTGATCAGCCCGACGTAGCGCGCTTTTCTTCCATAGCCAGAGATCCGGTTTAAGTCCACCCATGGCGATGAAGGTGTCTCAAATCCTTCCCCATGTGTGGGTGATGGATGAGGCGGTTCACGAGTCGCTGCTGGATCATGTGGACAAGGCCTTTGCCACGGATGGCCGGAGCACTACGACGAAGGACTTGGTAGTTGAGTTCGTAACGTTTACACTTTTCAGGTATATATGCTGCTTTAAGACTTTGCAGATGTTTTGACCTGTGCTTTGGAAGACAGAGAGGAGGAGTATCATGGTAGGCCGCTCACTTCTCGCAGCATCGAGTTCGAGATGGATGAAA